ATTTTTCATGAAAGATGTTTTTGTGCCTAAAAATAGCAAAAATGTGGCTGTTATAATCTTCACAGAAATATTAAAAAATATTTAAATTTTTCATTGGAGGGACGGGTCCTTGTGACTGGTCTAAAGTAATTACATATGTATGAAGTAAAAGTGTACATTGACAACAATTACATCACTTTATTTTTTTGTTTAATATTTTTCAATAGATTAATGAAATGTAGTCAAGGGGGCTACTACTGAAATAGAGATAATAAAAGCATTTTAAAGTTCATGTCGTTTTCCGCTTTTACATGGAATAACCTTTAAAACCTTTTCAAGCACTTTTTGTTTGACACCAATCTTGCAATATTTGATCTACTCATTTGAAACTTTTAGTATAAAAAGATGGCGTCGACACAATTTTTGCCCAATACCTTAAACTTCTATCACCATATTTGAGCCAATTTATATAAAACCTTAGCATTTTTCCGATATGAAAAATTGTATGCAGTTCAACAGAGCTCCTTTAAACGAACCGAACTGCATCAAAATTGTCGTATCAAAAAAAATTCTGACCTATTCCCTTTGGTAATTAACCGACTCACGTATTATAGAATGAAGTGCCCTGAAAAAAAAAACGGATTTATCAAAAAATGTGGGTCTCCCTGATGTGAAAGCCAAGAAATTTCCATATGAGGCTAACAATCCAGAATATTGCAATCGCTTTTTAATATACATAGGTATTCGGATTTGCTAACTCAGTATCCAGACGCTAATTCCAGAACTATTTCGAGAGGGTGAATAAGTTATAAAAATTAGCTAAGTCGAATATTTAGTTTATTGTGGGCTACTTGCTTTTACCAAACCGAATGCTAGCAAAAATGCCAATTTTTACTTCGTTTCAGACCATTGGTCACAACGTTTTACATAGTTATCGCTGTGCGACTTAATAACGGAATTTTTAATGGGCTGGTATATAATTTTACACCGCAAAACATTTCTAAAATGCATAGGCCTTGAATGAACTTTGCTATCGCATAGCAAGTTAGTTAAGAATATCATTAAATGTCCCCAATTTTATTGTTAGCTTCATTTAGATGTAGCTTATCTCTATTCTTTCTAAACAAAATCTAATTCGGCATAACCACAAACATTGTATATTTTTTTTTTGTTTAAAAAAAAAAAACAAAAAAAAAACAGTCACTACGCACTACTACTATTATTATCGGCTACCTTTGAATAACTAATTTTGCATATCACAAAAAAAAAATAAGTTCAACGGCACCATAATTTGAAAAAGTTTTTAATACTCAGCAGATACCATTCTCAAAGTATGTAAAGTCAGCAACAAAGTATAGAATTATACGAGTTTGTACTACCTTTTTTGGCTTGAAAAGAAGCACTTCGTAGGTTAAATGCCTTACCATTTTGTGATCATATCAGCAATAAATGGTGAATTACCCATAAAAGCGACATACATACCATTTATAGTAGATGGTTACATATTTACAAAGAATGTCTTGCATACATACATATATACCCTTGCGGTCAGCTACTCTGGGTAAGTGGCTTCTTTACCAGTTTTGAATACTTTTTTTTTTGTTTATTAAATGCCTTTTTTTTATAAAAGTCTAGCACATTATATAACGATCCACATTACAAATTTTGTACAAAAAAAATTCAAAAAACTTCACCAATATTCCCCAAAAACGCAATAATAGGGGTATTCACAAAATTGTGCAAGTGACCTGGCACCCGGGCAAAAGAGTTGAATAGCTCAAGCAAGAACTTTGACAACATTCCTTGCTTTGAGCTAATCAGCTCTTTAGCCAGAGTTACTCAATTTGGTGAAGGTCCTTAATTTTTTTTTTACTGAAGGTACTGCATTTTCTTCCTCATATACGAGCATACTTGGAAGAAAATGCACAACACCGTCAGCTAAAAAAAATTATTAAAAAGCAACGCAATTTTCTAGCGTCTTAAAACTTGCACTAAAATTTAAAGGGCTATAAAACTGCATTAAAAATTTTTTCTAAAAATTCTGAATAATTTTTATAATTTTTGTACAAATTTAGAAATGTGGATTTATATGGTGCTTTTCATATAACGTCCTAGACTTTTATAAAACATTAAACAAATTTATGAAAAATAGTCAAATTGGTCAAAATGTCACTTAACTTAATCAGCTGAACACAAATGTATATAAGTGGATATATACATACATAAATCGTTTATTCTCATGATATCGAAAATAATAGCTGCGAACATAGGCACTTGCATGAATATATAAATATGTTTGTACATATGTATGAAACAACACTTCACCGTCGCACTGTCAACGCCATAAATTTTCGTCCACGTTGACGCACACTTTTAAGCCGCTTAAGTGGTTATGACTCTTTAAGATTTTTGTTATACTCGAATTTCTTTTATTATACTCCTTCATGACGGCGTCAAATAAGAAATCAAAATGTATTAAAATTACTTTTCAATTATTATTTATTGTTGATTCTTAATTTTTTCTTTTTTTTACCAGCCACTGCATGAGTAGCATTACAAATTATCAATAACAAGCGGCTAATGTATCCACCGATACAACAGAAATAGCTAAACTTAAAAAAAATGCTCAGCCATCAATGTTGGTTGACTGCCTAGCAAATTGACAAGCTCGAGTTGCAATATGTGAATTGGCTGACTGCCTGGCACTATGGCGATGAGCTGCTTAAGAGTTTTAGGAAAATTTTCTGTGCATGACAGTGCTAAAAAAAAAAAATAATAATAATTTACAATAAAAAGCTTGGCGGTTATGCGCTCTTTTGTCGTTTGATTGGTTGTAAACATATCGCATTACAAATGTCCATCCAGGTGTGAGCCTTTTATGCAGGCATTTGTACATATGTACAGTGGCGGTCAAAAATGGATGAATGGTGTTCCGTTTTTAATATTTGCAATTTTTTTCAAACTATAATTTTAATAAATAATTTTTTGGGTATGCAGTTAATAGTTATACAATTTTTGTAAAGTAAGATAAATTTTGAGCGCCTAGAAATCGCATAGGTTTTTAATATTTTCTTTTTTTTTGGCTTCTTTTTTTTTGGCTGGCGGCTTTTGCGGTTTTTTCATATAAATAGCGAAATTTCTCGCACCGGTCTCTCGCATATTCCTCCACATGAAATTCATGTTTATATGGAAAAAGTGGAAAACATCGTAAAAAAAATATATATTAAAAATGAATTCGATCTTTTAGCCGCTCAAATCTTGAACTTGCTTTATTAGAATTTTATAAGCCTTTTAACTGCATACCTAAAAAAATTCAAAAAATTCTGGTTAAAAAGCTCGAAATTTAGATAAAAATGTGTGGAATTTTTCAAAGTCCTGTATAAAGTTTGAAAGTGCTATTTATACAGTTTTTGTTAAAGCATGAACCGTATTTTTATAGAAAAAAATCAAACAACTTTTAGCTTGAAAACCATTATAAATATTAAAAACGAAACATTATTCATCCATTTTTGACCGCCACTGTAAGTGTAAATATGTATACTCGTATGCACTGGTGCGTTATGTATGCACAGCGTTATGCGGTTTTCTAGAAACTCCAAAGTTTATGACTCAATAAAATTTTTCTACGTAAATTTGTAAAAAAAGGTTTAAGTCGTAAAGTGAACGCTGGTAAGTGAAATTACAATTTTTATGTGTATGTTAAACGTATGTATATATAAGTACATATATACATAGGTATGTAGAAATGTTAACTAAGAAAATATTTGCAGCACTTATCTAAATACATTAAATACAAACATACATATATATGTATGTGTAAATGGGTGAAATTTGAAAAAAAAAAATTAAAAAATTCTACCTCTGGAAAATATCATTCTTTTCGCAAGTCTGTGCCCGAATCACCTCATATGTAAGTATGTGATCGAAGGAAACTCGATTTGAAATTTTGATTTTGAGGTTACGGCACTCGTCAAGGAGTCCGCCTTTTCAATATAATTTATATGGGAGAGAAACCAGAGGTCATTTGATTTAATTCGATTCAAAACGAGCAATAATTCGATAACGGATGACGTGATTTGGGCTCTGCTTTTCAAGAACCCTTAACTTTTTGACCCCTATGCATTATAAAGATTTTCGCGCCTAAGAGGGCTACTTTTTATAACCAATGTATATATGTAGGGTGGTCCAAAAATCCATGTGAAAAAGTAAAGTCGGAAGTAAAGAATTGAAATTTCTCTCACCCCCAGGATTGTTCTATACCGAAAAATATTATACCTCTGTTGTTTTTTTTGAAATCAAATAATATTTAGAGTTCACTCAAAGCGCTTAAATCTTTAAAGGTATTTTATATGGGGAAAACCAAGTTTTCGCATAAATGGTGTAGAATTCTTGAAAATTTATATTTTTCGATTTTTTTTTGGTTTCTCTTCAGGAGACTGCCAGTAATAATACCCATTTTTTTATTATGAAATTTTTTTTAATATTAGCGATTTTTTATTGGGTTCTATAAAAAATAGTTAATAACAGTAAATGGTTAAGTAAACAATTGGGTACTTTTATTGGAAGTCTCCTAAAGAGCAACAAGGTTTTCCTATCGAGAAATAATGAGTTTGAATAATTCCATAGCATTTCTACAAAAACTTGTGTTTTCCCATATAAAATACATGAAGACTAGTGTTGGGAAGTATCGAGTTCTTTTGAGGATCGAGTTCTTTGTTCTTTGGTACCGATACTATGAAGTACTCAGTATCGATACTTTCAGAAATCGTCGATCCTATTGAGAATCGAGTTCTGAGTACTTTTGATATCGATGCTGCCCAACACCAATCAAATCCTCTAAATATTTTTTTTTACATCAAAATAGAAAAAACAGTGGTATTTTTTCCCGTATAGAAGGTGACATTTACATTAAAATTCAGATTTAACTTTTTTTTTGACCACCCTAATGTGCATACATTTATTGTTTTCCAATAAAAATTTTCATAAATAAATGCTAATAAAAATTATTCCTTTCAACTTACATGATTGAGGCGCGCTGCGATCTTGGCATGCTCCTCCTGATAAGCTTTGCGTGCTTTACGTTTATCCTGTGATAAATGTGTCAGCTTTTCGCAGACGACTTCGAGTAGTTCTGCATTGCTTTTGAATTGTTTTGCTTGATGATCCAATTCATCCATGTAGGAGCGCCAGGCTTTCGTTATGAGGCTGCCTATAATAGGAAATTAAATTCACTTTTATATATTTTTAACACAAGCGAGGTGGGATAGTATAAAAACAACAACAAAAAAGTTAACTTATAGATTTAAAAAAAAATATGTATAGCTTTCAAAATTAATTTTGAACAAATTTTTTTTTACCTGCGAACAATCCCACATATTTTTCTTTAATTACAAATTCTCCTTAAATAAATAAACCCTAGAACAGTGGCGTCGTCCAAGTTTACAATATTACTAAGTACGCTCGTAGCAGTTATAAAGTACGGGCTAAGGTAAGTAAACAATTTTTTGCAATAAAAAGGATGGCCGGCAACCACGGTTGCCATTTCCAATTTATTTTTCGGACCAAAAAATGGACCAAATGGTAAAAAATTTACCAATTTTTATAAGATTGTCATTATTATCAAGAAAATATGCCAATTCAGCTTTTATAAAGATTTTTTTATTGCATTGAAAACTCGAAACTATTGCATGAAGTGAAAGGGTGATAATAACCTAACCAAAGGCGTGTAAAATGGACCATTTTAAAAATAAATGTACCGATGGACCAAACGAAAATAAATGGACCAAATTTGGTCCATTTGGACCAAAACGGCAGCCATGCCGGCAACTAGCTACATACCACGAATAGAGTAGCACCCCCCTTTTTGGATCGCGGGGTCCCAAACCACCTGATGTAGAAGCTGGAGAATGGTTTGGTTGTTATTGTTTTAAAAATAATATTTTTTTAATTTTATTTAATGTTTAATAAGATTTTTTTCTTTTAACATAACTTTTTTAGTTAAACTTTCTTTAAATGATTTAAATTTTTTTTTTTGTGTAAAAAACGTGTTATTTTAAGTCATTTACTTTTTGAAAATTTACTTCATTTGTTTTTTCTTTTCTTTTAATTTAGTTTTTACCCTTTTGTTAATTTTATTTTCTTTTAATTTTTAAAAGAAGATGTAGAAGCTGGAGAATGGTTTGGTTGTTATTGTTTTAAAAATAATATTTTTTTAATTTTATTTAATGTTTAATAAGATTTTTTTCTTTTAACATAACTTTTTTAGTTAAACTTTCTTTAAATGATTTAAATTTTTTTTTTTGTGTAAAAAACGTGTTATTTTAAGTCATTTACTTTTTGAAAATTTACTTCATTTGTTTTTTCTTTTCTTTTAATTTAGTTTTTACCCTTTTGTTAATTTTATTTTCTTTTAATTTTTAAAAGAAAAATATATATATATTTTTCTTTTTTTATTTATCCTACTCAATTCTTTTTAATTGTTTGTTTTTCACTTTTTTAATAAGAATATTTTTAATCTAATTTAGGTACTAAGTATATCATTATTTTGTGATTAAACTTTTTTCTGTTTCTAATTTAATTTCATTTTATTTATTAATTTTTATTGTTTTATAAACAAATATATATGTACACATATATATTTTTTTGTCTTTCGAAAGACTGTGGTGAGTTGACAGACAGTTGCCAGAATTGCCCTGTTAAGCTGCCCAGATTTCTGTAAGGCTACGAAAAAAATATTCTGACGTACAAAATGAGTTGTTCCTTACAAAAATGTATAATTTTATCTTAGTATTAACTGTTAAGAAGTTATAATAACGACCCAAAATATTTGATCTGTTAATTTCGATATTTTAGTTGTAGCTCAAATTTTTATTTAAATCGCTTTTTGCCTGGAAAAGTTCTGGCAACACTGGTTCTAACTAAGGGCCGGTTGTTCAATGTCTGGTAATCACTACCTCCCAGTTAAACATCATTATCGACATTTTCGAGTAGTCGTAGTATTTAACCGGAGCTTCTACCTCCGATTTGTACTAACCAGACATTGAACAACCGGCCCCAAAAGTGTCATCCTTCTTGAGCCCTCTTAACCTCTCCTAATGTAGCCTACCCAATCATTTTACCAGACAAGGCTAGACTCAATCAAATCACTATCCGTCCACAAACCATTGGCAAAATGGCACTAGATACATTGTTTTACTAATTAACTAAAGGAATGTCGGTAATGTATGCGTTAATAAACTTTGGATTTGCAGCTTTGATTGACCGTATGACTAGAAGGTTTATTAGATACTTCATAAATAATTTTTTGTCAAATGTTAAATAATTTCTGAGCAATTAAAAATGTGGTTTGTGCCACAATACATAATTTATTACAATTGTTTCGAAGTGCAAGCATGTGTGCATATACATAAATATTTATGTATATTATAGACACGTTGTATAAATGGCTTCTTCTATTTCTTGTATGTAATTATTATTTTTACTTAATACTGGTTAATTTATTACGAAGTCTAATTAACACTTTTTTTTTTTGCACTCAAGTACAGTAAGGCCATTATCTTATTTGCTTCTATTATTTTCTTTTTATAATTGTTTATTGGCTTATTTTGTTTATGATAAGCGTTTAGTGCACTTGGTCACGCTCACTGAGCGTAATGCTATAAGGAGGAAAAACTGTAATGAATGGTTCACTACCTCAAACCGCCTCAAAGTAGTGAATGGAAACTGTAAAAGTAAATAAATGCAGCTGCAATTTGGTTTAATTGTCAGCAACAACTGCGCGAATTATGAGTGCAGAAAAGCATATAAAACCTTACGTACACTTGTACTTGTATATATGTACATACATATGCATTCGAGTCGACATTGTAGACGCATAATGCATACAGATCTTAATATACACATATATTTGTATGTTCATATTTAAGTGGAGGCGCCGAACCAACTAACCCAAAATCCCACAAAGATAGCAAGTGAGGCAACAAAAAAAAAAAAAAAAGTGTGCCAAAAATAGAAGTTCCACTGCGCGCCAGCAAGCGTATCGGGCATTGAAAATGATCGTGAGAAATTGTCGGAAAACAGCTGTTTAAATGCTTAAATTAATACGGAAGAAGGTGCAAATACCCGCATCAAACCAAGCCAAGCGCAAGCGCTCATTAATATGCTTTTCAAAAATTTGCATATGTCTATTGGACAATAGCAACAACAATCTTAACACTTAATTCCTATTTACTACCTTGTGGTGAATTTCACTCTAAATATTCGCTAAACAAATTCGTGGTCAAGGTCACTACTTTTCCACGCAATTTGCCACAATTCGCTTATAAAAAAATTAAAACCGCTTTTATTGGCTTTATAAAGTCATTTCAATTTAGTGGATCGAAAAAAAAAATATTGGCTTAAAACTTTCCGCAATTAAACATAGTAGATACACAATCTAGAATGTGTGCACTATAAGTTAACTTGAATTTGAGTAGAAAGGAACTAAAAGTCACAATTAGCTGTATATTTTCTTTAAGCTAACTATATTTCTGCACATTACATGTCAACTAACTTGTAACTAACTACTTTTGCTGGTTTTTTTTGCGATTTCAAACGTTTTCGAAAATATGCTGAGTTAGACTTAATGAAATAAGTGAACCAACTTTGCTAGGAATCGATAATGCGGTTACCCAGATACGCGGCCCACGACCGTTAACCAAAAATTTATAATACTCAGATTTTCCGCTAAACGGTTATTGAAAACATTGATTTTGAGTGAATTAGCTTCAGTATTTACTGATTTATCGCACCGGTATATGGGAGGTGGGCGTAGTTATTGCCGGATTTCAAAAGTTTTCAACAGATTTCTTAGTTGGACCCTAAAGCAAGGCTCGTAGGCTGGTAGGTATTAGTGAGGCGGCTACTGAGATACAGCATTTCATCAAAATTGAGAGACGTCACGCCCATTTTCAAAAAATTTCATAATAGTATTATTTTGACACCAAACTCTACAGCAAATACTAATTTTCAACAATTTGGATGCAATATTTACTGAAATATTGTAGTTTTTGCTTTTTTCGAAAATACCGTTACATGGGAAGTGGGCATGGTTACAGTCAGACTTCGCCCATTTTCAATACCAATCTACCTTGGATAAAGGGAAACCTACATACCAAATGTCGTTGAGATATCTCTATTTTTTGCTCGAATTATCGTGTACACGAACGGACAGACAGACATGGCTTAATCGACTTCTCTATTCATGCTGAGCATTTACATATATATTTGGCTAAGCTGTTACAAACAACCGTTATGTGAAGAAAGTTATAATACCCTTGTGCGCTCGGGTGTATAGATATATAAATTTGTTCATATTTTCAAAAGACATTTTCATAATATCAGAAATAGGCCATAGCTTTTTACAGTAGAATGGACGTAGTACGCGGTGCCATGGTATAATTCCTTTAACCTTGGTATGTTTTATATAAAAATTGGCTACTTTTTCTGCAGGATGTACATAAGGGTAATCCAAAAATAAATGCGGAGGGGGCGGGGAAAGAGGTCAAAATATAAAGCTCTCACCCCCTAGGATTTTCCTAAATAGAATAAAAGAATACCCAAATTTTTTGTTAAAAAAAAAATTATATCCAGAACTGCCTCAACGCGCTCAAAATTGTCCATGTACTTATTTTACTTTTTCGTAGAAATGACATAAAAGTCTTGAAAATAAATACTTTTCGATCGGAAAACTCTGGCTTTTTTAAATTTTTAATATTAGCTATTTTTATAGGTCTCCGAAAAACACCAAAAAATACAATACAGGCACCCATAAAAAATCGTTAGTATTAAAGAATGGTAAAGTAAATAATTAGGTAATATTACTGGAAGTATCCAGAGGAGAAACAGTGTTTTCTCATCGAAAAATATTGCATTTCAAGAATTCTATATAATTTCTACGAATAATTTTTTTCCCACATATAAAATACATGGAAAACTTCATGGGCTTTCTTTGAGGCAGTTCTAAATATATTTTTTTAACAAAAAAGTACGGTGATTATTTATTCAATTTTTTTTTTACCACCCTAATGCACATACATACAGATGTATGTAGGTATTTATACATAAATTTGTGTTTTATTTTTACACATACAACTAGTTTGATTGACCCAGTGGGAAAAGTAGTACCTACTGCATTAAACGCATGATAAATAATGTAATGTATTTCTTATG